CAGCGAGTCCATAAAACAACTGGCAACGCCGTTGGGGAGCACCCTGAGACACCACCCCTTTGCAAAGACCACCAGATGACACAGATGGGGCAAAACCAAACAAAGACGAGACTCCCTTTGTACAGAGAGGAACCCCTTTCAAAAGCCATTCATGCAACAAATTGGGGAGAGCTGGCCATGAGGCACTGCCTTTGCTCTTTTATTAGCATGAACCTTACGTCACAGTAAGTGAAATCAGATTTATTGCTTTTGTTGCAAAGCAGTTTAATGAAACAAAGTTAACAAAAAAAAAATGTCTCTCGTCACAAAAATATGTCGTTTTCTAAAAGCTCACATACCCATTTTAAAGCTTAAAGTACATCTCACCATAGTGACAAAAGTTGTAGTTTTATAACTAGTGAGCAGACGTGAACATTGCTGAATTTTGTTTTTCTTCTATAACTCTTTGATGAAACAAACTTTCTTTTCATTTCTTTAACAAATTATTCCACAGAGTGAAGACAAAAAATAAACAAATAAAAACAATCAAGCATGTTGGATTCCTTTTTTTTTTTTTTTTTTACTGACATTTAAAGAAGCAGTGATATTCTATAGGCTGAGATACTACTGAGATGCACTGCTGACTAACTGCAGATTTAAGCAGCATCAAGCTGTTTTTGTGTCTTGCTTTGTTTTTTTCAATACATCTCTCCAGTTATGGAGGTATACTTCCATGTAGGTCAATAAAAATGTGCACACAAGCTTTTGCTTGTTAAGCGCCTTGCATTTTCTTTTCTTCTTCAGTCTCAGCTGCACTCTCACTCTGCTGCAGCAATCTACATAGAGAGACATTTGTCATCATTAGCCCTGCTCTGACAGTTGGCACCCCGGACCTCAGATCTCCAAGACTGGCAATTATGAACCCTTCATCCCTTATTTAGGCAACATCACCTACTTTTGGTGCAGGTTTTTTTTTCCAACAACATTTTATTCCTGAGCAGGCACAAATTAACAAAATCCTATTTCCTAAAATCCTATTTCCGGATCAAATCCCATGTAGGAGAGAGTTGTGTTTATCAACATATAACTTGAAATTATTTATCAGGAACAAGAGCTTTTGGAGAGGTCTTATATGAGCATCAAGGGGTCAGTGGGCAGATGATTAGAGTGCCCACTTTTGCATCATAGACACTTTGAGAATATTAAGATGAATCACTCTGCAATAGCTTAAAGGCTGGTTTAGGCATCAACATGGTGAAAATTTTGAAAATAACTTTAGTTTAAAGAAGCAAAACACAAAGCATTTCAAAGCATTAGGTAGAACAAAAGGAAGACAATGCTAAATGCTATGCTAATAGAAAAGAAGAAAGCTATTAAAGAGGGCAGAAACCTGCACCTTGATATTTTTTTTACAGATATATCTGTGTTTAAGAAGGTACTTTAAATGGCAAGTTAACCCTTTTTATGTTGTGGTGCATTCAGATATTTGCTGGATTATTATTTTTGACAAACAATACTAAACCGTAATCATGCTAAATTCATGCAAATACATGGATGTAATCTATCACCAAGCTGACAAGCGTACCATATTGCAAAGGGGAGGGGTGAAGAGCCAAATGAAAATTAGACAATCAATTAAGTTTTAAATTAATTTAGTCCAACTATTTTTTGTTAAAATTTTAATCAACAAAACAAAACCTACACAATATTTCTGTGGAGGAAAAACAAGTTTTAGAAGGGAGCTTATGGAGTTAAATAGCTTACAGTTTTAGATAAACCTCAGAGTTTTCAAATTTAGGCAGCAGAGAAGGAAATTAATGAAAGGACACAATCTAAAGAGGATCCCATAGAGGCTCCAGAGTTGATAATTAACTGGCCTCCTACAGAGATATCATATTGCATGGAATAATAATGCTTTGTTAATAAAGCAAGCAATGACAATATAATAAATTATATAATAGAATATTGTGCCATAAGAAATAATCCCAACAGGATATAGTTTTAACAATTTGAGTGTCAGTGGGGTCAAATTTCTAAATCATTTGCTCTTTAAATTTGAATTATACAGAATGATTTTATTTTTTCTAAATCCGTTTTGAACTGATTTAAACATTCAATTGGTGGTAAGTTGGTAAATGGGTTTTCTAAGTGGATTGAGTAAACCACAGAAATGTAATGGAAAAGCCTAAGACGGACATGTTTTGTTCGTCTGTAAGAGGATTATTAAGAGTATGAAAGGTTATCCATAATTGATATTCTTAAGATCTCTTAGCAGAGGACTTGATCCAGAGAAAGAATTAGGAAAAATCTCTTTCAGTGAAGCATTAGAAAAGAAGTATTAGTTAATGCTGTCAAGGAGGAAACTGAAGTTTCTGAAGGCATCTCAAATGCATTCCTGTTGAAACAGTTTTAGTCTTATTGCTATGGTTAAATCCCAATAGGTAGAGGGTCAATTTGGTCAATAAATATAACATTTACCCTTCCCACTTATTCTGTATTATTGTAAGTGTTGTTTATTACTATTGTTCATAAATTCATAATTAGAAAATGTAATGTAAAAGTCCAGGCGACCATTTTTACCATGTTTTTAAGCCGTAAGACAAACTAAAGTTTTGCATATCCATTTTAATAGTGTCAAAAAAGGGTCAAATTCATTTTAATAACTCATTTCCATGGCAATTCAAAGCCCAGCACATGAGAATAAAAGGCAGAGAACATTGCAGTAGCATAAAGGCAACACAAATAATTAAAAAGGATGAAAATGAATAAATGAAAAAAGATAATTATACAAAGACATAAAAGAGAAAAAAAAGGAAAAACAAGTATAAAGGGGAAAAAAATGAATAAGTGTTTGTTTCTGGAGGACTGCTCCAGAAACTAAGAGGCCTTCAAAACAGTGTCACATGGCCATGCAAAACTAGAGGGAACGGAATTCATTGTACTGATTCACACAATTGTGCATGTATTTTGAATGTTCAGAATCTCAATCCCATTTATCAGACTGGAGAGCCCCAAAAAGCCTGGCAGGACACTACACAGAGCAACCAAGACTGCAGCGCTGTAATGGTGTGAGTAAGAAGACATGAATGTCTGGGGCCAGACCTGACAACTGGAGTCATGGGACTGTGGAGCAGGTTGAGTTGCACTGGGAACTGTGCAGCCACATGGTTTAGATTAAGAGGCGATAATCTCAATGAACCCCCCCAAAACACACACCCCATCATCGCACAGAAACACACATACTTCTATCACAAATAGGGATGGTCAAAAGCTGGGGAACAGATTCAGAAAGTGCAACCTGACTCTGAGGTATCTGACTTGCGGCATGAGACTCTTGGAAGTGAGTCCAGTCTGGTTTCAATAAATGCCAAGTACCTGCTGAGCTACAAACAGGGGGGAAAACTATTAAAGCCAGAGAGGGAATGGGATTTTAGCTACCTAAAAGTGCATGGAAACCTTCCCTTTGAGTCCTGAATAACTGCTGCCCATATATGTCAGTAAGAGTCTAAATGTATGACTGTAAAATTCAATTTGTCCTAAATGTGATACAGTTGAAGAAATAAAAATGCATTATTACTAAATAAACTCTGACCTCTGGCATATCACACAATTAGATTTCATACCTGAAATCTGTAAATTCTACCCGGTAACAGTGTAAAATTACCTCTGCATTTGCCAAACAGCTACTAGCAGTGTGCTCATGACAGGCAGTGATGATAATAGTAGTCACCTATCTATCAAGGTCCTTCCTCACACACCACGCCTCTCCTCAGCTGCATCCGAGCAGAGGCTGAGCAGCGGAGGATTGCCCTCATAATGTCTGTTTGTATGCAGCTCTAGCGAGGGCAGAGATGGGTGTAAATGCCTTTGTGTTTGTTATCTGATCTATGCAGCAGCATCATCTTTTTGAAGTCTTCTTCAAAGAGTGAAGACTACATTGAGATGCTGTGACAGTGCACTGATGAGAGACAGAGAGGGCATCTTTACAATTTAGTGTAAGTGCAGATACCCGACTTCATGGTAAATCAATGCCTTTTTATTCTATCATATGATCTATTGATATCATTTGATGTTAACTGTTATTACACCTACTTTTGCTTCACTGTACTTTATATTTTTTTGTTTCAAAAGTTTCCATGCCCATTTTTCCATAATATATATTTTTTAATGTAACCAAAAGCAGACCAAAAAAAATAAGAACATATTTCAATTATAAACCCACATTTTCTTTTTTATTCATTAAACCTAACTTTTTAATACAGACAGAGAAGTGAGAATGCTTCTTATTGTAACCCAAAAAAGGAAAAAAGGAGCCTATTTCTAAATACAAAATGTAATTTATTTTTGTTTTATATTTCCAAAAAATCGCTAAATATAAGCTGTACAAGTATCCTTTTAACACAGATTAATACCTCAGGAAAATGCATGATAAAATATAAGGATTGCCAATTCGTTTGATAATTAATTAAACTATGGATAAATAGATAAATATAAATTACAAAAAAATTGGTTTAATTGTTTATTCTTTAATAAGAATAAAAATCAGAATTTTTATATTATGCTTTACCCACATAGGCTACTCCAAAATACGTTTTCTATTCTCTATTAAGTCGCTTTTCTCCGCTTAAAAAATTTCACTTCCAACACTGATTTAAATTAGGATTTTTTTTTCTAACTAAACTGTTTTTCTTTCTATCGGATAAAAAAAATAAAACTCCCCAAACAACCCAAACACACCCACTGTCTCTTTTGTTGTTTTGTTTCTGAAACAGCTGACTGGCTAAATAAAATAAAACCTAAAAATCCAAAATTTTAGAAAAAAAGACGCAGCAGATAAATCCAAACGTTGCACTACCGCTCATCGCTTTAAAATCACCAAGTGTTTCCTTCTTCTTTTTTTTCTTTTTACTTGTATATAGGATCAGAGCCGGGGATGAATTTGTTTCCCATAAGCTGCGGTGACGCACTGGAACTCCATTGGACATCCTGGTCTCAACTCCTCCCTTAAAATAATGAGTGTGTGTGTCTCCCTGCCTGTTGTAAAACACAGCAACGCCAGCCATCTGCGTCGAGAGGGCACATTGCACTCTGCGCAATTACGCGGACTCCTAACTGGCACAGCAATCAGAGAGAAAAAAGAAAAAAAAAACGAGATTTTTCAGCTATTGGACTTTAAATCACGTCATTCGGATCATTTTGAGAACTTATTTTGAGCACTTCAATGCAGTTTACAGCACGGCTGCTGTGACTGTAATAATTAATGCATATGTGCTCTGAGCACATATAATAAACTGACCCTTTTTTTCTATTTAGATTGCTCTCCTTCTTCTCTAAAATTGGCTCCCGTACAAACAGCCGCGTTGGATCCCTCGGCTTACTGCGAGACTCCGGTGTATAACCCGGATCTCTGCCCTAACATGATAGCCGCCCAGGCAAAGTTGGTGTATCACCTCAACAAATACTACAACGAGAAATGTCAGTCTCGGAAGGCGGCCATCTCCAAGACCATCCGGGAGGTGTGCAAGGTGGTGTCGGATGTACTGAAGGAGGTGGAGGTGCAGGAGCCGCGCTTCATCAGCTCCCTCAGCGAGATGGATAACCGCTTTGAGGGACTGGAGGTTATCTCTCCCACCGAGTTTGAGGTCGTCCTCTATCTGAATCAGATGGGAGTATTCAACTTCGTGGATGACGGCTCTCTGCCGGGCTGCGCCGTCCTCAAGCTCAGCGACGGCCGCAAGAGAAGCATGTCTCTGTGGGTTGAGTTCATCACAGCTTCCGGCTACCTCTCCGCGCGTAAAATCCGCTCCAGATTCCAGACGCTGGTGGCCCAAGCTGTGGATAAATGCAGCTACAGAGATGTGGTGAAGATGGTCGCTGACACCAGCGAGGTAAAGCTGCGCATTAGAGACAGATATGTGGTGCAAATCACGCCTGCGTTCAAATGCACTGGCATCTGGCCGCGAAGCGCTGCGCACTGGCCTCTCCCGCACATACCGTGGCCGGGACCCAACCGAGTTGCAGAAGTCAAGGCGGAGGGTTTCAATCTGCTATCCAAAGAGTGCTACTCCCTGAACGGGAAGCAGAGCTCTGCAGAGAGCGATGCTTGGGTGTTGCAGTTCGCCGAGGCCGAGAACCGGCTTCTCCTGGGCGGCTGTAGGAAGAAATGCCTGTCGGTTCTCAAAGCGTTGCGGGACCGTCACCTGGAGCTGCCTGGACAGCCTCTGAACAACTACCACATGAAAACTTTGGTTTCCTACGAGTGTGAGAAACATCCCCGGGAGTCGGACTGGGATGAAAACTGTCTGGGTGACCGCCTGAACGGGATACTATTGCAGCTTATTTCGTGTTTGCAGTGCAGGAGGTGCCCGCATTATTTTCTGCCTAATTTAGACCTGTTTCAAGGAAAACCGCACTCTGCGTTAGAGAACGCTGCCAAACAGACTTGGCGACTGGCAAGGGAAATACTGACCAACCCCAAAAGCTTGGAGAAACTCTGAGGTAACACAAAAAAAAAAAAAAAGAGAAAAAAAAGGTTGATACACTTCATTTTTAAAAATGTGTTAAAAGGTCTAATGAGCTCATAAAATTTGCCAAACCGTTGTTGTGAAATGTGACTTTCTCTGTTGTTAAAATGTTTTGGCCTAGCCGCTTCAATATGCTCCTTTTTTCTAACAGTATCATTTGTAATTATTCATATTCATCTTTGGAGGTGATAACTGACTTTTCAGAAGCAAGTTCCAATTTTTGTCACAAATCTTGAAGGCTGCAGTTTTTACTCATTTTCTTCACACTATACAGGGCTGACAAAATCCAACATTTTCTTCAACCCTTTAGAAACAAATCATTAAAAAAAATCCCATCTGTACATTTTCTTATACTGTAAATACATTTATAGATTGTGAATCAAGTGGTCTGAAATTGTGAATGTTGTTCTGTGACAATAGGATCCACCTGTTTAAATCTGAACTTTTTATCTGCATCTGCTACTTTTTTCTTTTTTTAATTTATTCTTGCGTCAGTGGTAGTCTGACTCACCTGTCTAAATGGACATTTTCTATTTTTTAAAGAGTTTACATTTTTTGATGGTAAGCGTAAAACATTTGTTACATCTAAAACATTCCATCAGTCTACTTGAATGATTATTTTAAAGAACTCGAGTTGTTTTTTCCCTCCATCGTTACTATAGGCCAACGTGATTTAAAAAAGAAAAAAAGAGAAAGAAAATGATAGCCTATATATAGTATATATAGTATATATATTACAGTTTAATTCGAAAAAAATGCACTTGAAATACACTGGATTATACGTCTGTGATTTGTTTCTTTTTATTATAATTATTTCTGTCTTTGATCTAATTTAAAGAGTTAATAAAACGAGCTGTTTTATATACTTGTGTCCCCCACTTTTTTAAAATGCAAGTCGAACGGCAGTGTAAAGGGCCTGAAGCAAGCGTAATGCAATGGTATAGGCCTACGTTTTTTATATATATATATTTATATAATTAATGTAAAAATATGTGAAAATACAAGAGTATTTATAAAACAGTAGAATTTGCAAATCCGTTTAGATTATTTTTAAAATGCAAACCTGCAGCACATTCCGTTATTCTATTCTATTCTATTCTATTCAAGTTCAAATGCAATGTGAAAAGGCTCACAAATAGAGGTGAAAGGTAATCTAGAGAAATAAAATAATAACATTGAATACGTTCAGATTTTTCAACAGCAAATAAGAAAAAATGCACTAAAAAATAATTGAGAAAGACTTATGCTTGTCCAGTCTAGGTTACATACCTTTGGGTCGACCCTTTTGAAGGCAGGGTCATCCTCGTCCACCTCAAAGTAGATCTCGGAGGTGGTGATGGACAGAGTCCCGCGCGCGACCAAAACAGGGGCCACAAGCTGGGCCGCGCTGCTCAGGACCACTGGGCCTGGGGAGGGGGGGAGATTATAGAAGGGTTGTGTTACTGGAATATTTAATTTCAAATTATAAAGTAAATCTAATGCCATAAGAATACTGTAAGGGATTCAGCCCTCCTAGTCACCATGGAGACTGCCATTTATAAAGTAGATAGGTCTAACAGGCATAACATTTTGTGGTAATTTTCCTAAATAAAGTCAATTACTAAAAGTTAGGTCGATAAAATAAATAAAAATATAGAGATAGGATCGGATAGGATTTTTTTATCCTTTGTTTTTAATTAACTATTTCAGCGATTCGCGCTAAATACGGCGCGACAGCCGCGCGAATTAGCCCTACTTCACTCAAAAAACATGAATATTGCGTCAACGTTTAAGTTCTGTTAATTTTAAAAGAATCCTTAAAAACAGATTATTATAACTTTGATTATAGAGGTAGTTCTCAATCTTTCTTCACCGCCTTTTTTTTTTTTTTTCTTTTTTTTTTTTTGCAGCGATGGTCTAAAATTAATTTAAAAAAGAATTAAGATGTTAATTCTCAGGATTAATTTAAGTAATTTAGTGAGAAACAAAATACGCAAATAAAAAATAAAACCAAACACTGATTGCCTGTTAGGGCGGATTCCGTCTACGGTGGACTGATAATGATGGCTTTTTTATTATTTCAGTCCTCCCTCTTGCTTTTCAGCCTCCTCCATGCTGTCAGATCAGTGTCTCTGCAGAGCACCGTTACAGTGATTTGTCTAGTCTAGAGCGAAAGCCCTCGAAAAATCAGGATATTTATCGATTCTTTAAACTCTAAAGAGCCACTTTAATGTCTCGTCAATCTTAATCTGCGTTCCTCGGCCAATTATAGGCGATAGTGTTACAGGAATACAAGTGGATATCGGTTGGAGCTCCCAGAGCGTCCCTTCATCGCTCTTCCAGGCTGCAGTTAAACTATCCACCCCAGTTTTTCCTTCTCAGCTCTATTAACAGTGACCCTATCTGCTCATGCAAATAACACTCATATTAACCAACAACCTCTTAACTGCATTAGAGGCATTATTTACATAAGATTAAGCACAATTATCAACCTTAAAGTACTTAAATGTACCTTTTCTCTATTTAATTCCTTGATTTAATTTTTATTTTCTTCTTTTGTTTGGTTGAATTAACAACAATAAAAGTTGAGGTATTTACTGTCATCAAAGTCCCCAAAGTACAATGAAAATAAGAAATATTACTCCTTGGTAAAGCACTGTTATCTGTCCCAAAAGAGCTACATCAAGTGAAACACACTGCAGCCTGAAGCATTAAGTATCTATTGCTCATCAGCACAAGAGGATTATGCAGTAATCCCCTCGGGGATCTGTCCATAATTAGGCTGTAACATAAAATGTTTACATAAGAATAATAAAATTAGGGGTAAGTTACACCTTATGACAGATCTGTATAGGGTAAAGCTCGCATTAGGAGGGTTCTAGTTTCAAAGGAAAATCCAAATAGGCCTAAAAAAATATATAATAAAATTAATTCTACTGAGCAGTTTATTTAAGAGAATTGCTTACAGAAAGGAGTATATTCTTACAATCTATGGAAGGCAATGCAATTTTTTATTACTATGTATATGTAAGTAAGTTGGGTTGATAAGCCACAATAAGTACTCTTATCATTTCTGTATTTTAAGGTTTGCAGTAACACGATCAGAAAATAAGCAAAATTATCCGCGTAGTTGTCTTTTACATATAAGGAGTTAATGCATTCTGGTTAACCTTACTCTCTTATAAACATGTTCGCACTTGAGCGATCTTAATTTTAAATAAGGTCCGAAACCACATACATAAAAGGCTAAATAAAAACAAAAAAACAAACAAAACAAAAACGGTTGAGTTGGCTAAGCCACACTTTGTGGTGTGCTAACAAGCTTCCGGTATGCTGGCAGAACAGTCAAATCTGAAGAGCCTCTCTTGACATGAGAAATGCTCCAACCGGTACTCTTTCTTTTAACACAAACAGTTCTGTTTTATTTAGTTCCAGATAAATGCGTGGATTTAAAATAATTTCATTAAATGCATCTTTAAGCACAGACAGCATTTTTCCGTATTTGTGGGGGAGAAAAGCTAATCATAGGTTGAGTAACCACAACTGCTTTGAGCTCATGAGTGCAAGCGACGCCCCTTTGGCAGCAGCAGCAGGCACTGACCCAGCGCCTGGCAGTAGGAGGACTGTTGTTGACAAAGATCTAGTCCCAGATCTCTCATTAAGCCTGTTTATGCCTGGGATTATTTGCAGCACAAACGCAGATCATTCATCTGAAAAGTATAATCTGACTATCAAAGCATACCGAAGCCCCGCTGGTGATAAGAGCAAAACCTCAATATGCACTAAATATATATATATATATATATATATATATATATATATATATATATATATATATATATATATATATATATATATATATATATATATATATATATATATATATATATTAAAAAAAATCTTAGCTCTTATTTCCCGTTTGTTTTCGTACACGTCATTAACGTATTACAGACATTAAACTCAGCAGTTCTTCTTTCACAGACCCATATGTAGTTTTTCCCAGGAGAAACCTCCTCTTTGTGTAGTAGTCTCTGCTATGTGCTTTAGATTGGCCAATGAGGGGTTCATCTGACAGACATGGAGCGTTTGGCTGCCTGCTGGCCCTGGGTCAGAAAGGAGGGGTTAGTCTCATCTGTGTGATCTAAAGGGATTTCACTGCTCAGAAGCGCCCTGCTTCAGTTTAAGCTTCACACGCTAAAATATCAGCGCTACATTGCTTCCAAACAGACATTTCCAATGATCAAAGTCTTCTTCCTTCCTAATAAATAATATTTTTCATTCAATGTAAAACTTGAGTGCACATAAGTATATTAACATTTGTTATTAATTTTGCATCTGTAAAACATGTATATCTACAGTATTGGGCCGAAGATCTACTGCAACTAAAATAGATGAAAACTAAAACATCGAGTGCTGGCAGCAGAAGAGGAATTGACTATAAATTAGAAGAGGGAATGAAAATTAAAAAACCTTTAGGAACTATTTATCTTAATCATGGGAAAACAGAACATGCTTTGTCTTGTTTACGTTAAGGTCAAGGGTCAGCAACCTGTACAAAAGGAAGAGCCACTTTCACTCTCCTTCCAATTAGATACATTTCTGTTGCAAACGGCACTTGACACTAAAAATGACAATATACTAGAACTTAGATTTTCTTGAGTGGAAAAAGTTGAGTTCTTCTAAATATTTTCCAAAAACACAATTATAGGTGAGTAAGGAAATAAACATAGCTGAATGGAGTAAAGGATATTGTTTATTCTTTTGTGGTCTGTGGTAGAAATGCTATATGGATATAGCATAAATATTGTGAACTTCTTGACATAAAGTCACACATGTCTCTGAATCCACTGAACCGTGGTATAGGTGGACAAGCCTCTGTTATCTAGGGCTACTTTAGCAAACTCTCTTGACAACACATTTTATTTAATTAAAATGAATAATGTAAAATCTACACAATTTAACTAATTTCACATTCATTTAAAAAATAAATCTAACTTTTGCTTCAGTTAATCTTTAAGGTAACAAGAAGCAAGCAGAT